GGGGCAGCGCTCGCTGGTGTCGGGGCAGCGCTCGCCAGCGTTGGGCTGCGCTCGCCGTTGTCGGGCCTGTGCTCACTGGCATTGGTGAGGAGGTGCTAAAGCCCTGGCTGCTGTCTCACGGCCCTTCTTCTCCCGTCGGGGCAGATGGCGTACTGCCAGCACATCGGCGTAGAGTTCATGTTTATCAACGACCTGGAGCAGTGCCAGTGGATCCGGCAGAAGTTCGAGACGCCGGGCATCATGCAGTTCACCAACGAAGAGAAACGCACGCTGCTGGCCAGGCTGGTCCGCTCTACCAGGTATTCTGGCGGGGGTCTTCACCTTCTCCTTCTCCTCTCTTGCTGCCCAGGCTGGTTTGCTCCCAGCCAGACCGACGTGGTCACCACCTGAGTCATCTCTTGACGTCATCTGTCGCAGTCAGCTTAATCAGCAGGATGACGCCAGTGAGCTGCTGGGCTGGCAGGCTCAGGTGCTGGCAAAGAGCCCGAAAACGTGGATGATCCTGAAAGAAAAGGTCTAAGAATAAGGCTTAAGTGCAGCACAGTGTCGGGGTGGGGGAGCGGCCAGCTGGGCTCTGCAGGAGGGGACTGGGGTGGCCGGGAAGGCTGTCGGGCTGCTGCACGGTGCCCGCTTAAGCATCACTTGGTGCCGTGGCTCCCTCGGTGCAGTCCCCATCCTTTCTCTGGTTTCTGCCCCCGGCTGTTGCTCTGGCACTGATCCCTCTCTCCCTTTGCCTTCCAGGTTTGAGGAGTTCCTCCATCGGAAATGGTCTTCGGAGAAGCGTTTCGGTCTGGAGGGCTGCGAAGTGCTGATCCCAGCCTTAAAGACCATTATTGATAAGTCGAGTGAGAAGGGAGTGGATTACGTGATCATGGGGATGCCCCACAGGTAACCCTGCCTCTGTGTGGTGGTGCGTGGGGCGTGGAGGTGCGGGATGCTGCTGGGGTTCGGTATCGCAGGATACACTGGTTTCTGCCATCACCTAACTGGTCTTGGCTGGTCTCCATAGCTGGAGAGCTCAGGCCTTGGCTGCTCTCCGCTCATTACGGTGTTTCAGCTTCAGCTCATTTGTAAATCCATCTGGACAGGGGTGGTGGCTGGAGCTTTTTTTCCAGAGCAGGATTCAGCCTGCCCGCTCCGGGGCAGCTGTCGGATTGTGGTGGTGATCGGTCTGTCCCTGTGCTCAGGGGTCTGCAGCTCCCTCGGGTGAAACTGCAGAGCCCTCTCCCCGGTTGACCC